ACTAACCGCCATGAAAAAGGAATATGAGAGCCTAGGTGAGAACAACACATGGATCTTAGTACCAAGGCCAAACAACAAGAAAGTGTTAACAAATCGCTGGATGTTTAAAACAAAAACCAACCAACAAGGTGACATAGAAAAGTATAAGGCACGACTTGTAGCTCGAGGTCATATGATGAAATTTTTGCTCCAGTCGCTAGATACGAAATAATAAGAACATTATTAGCTGCCTCCGTAAATGAAGAAATGCACGTACATCAAATGGACGTAACTTCCGCTTACGTTCAAGGTCATTTATCCGATGAAATATACTTGGAGCAACCCGAGATGTTCGTCCTGAGCGAACAAGAAGATAAAGTTTGCAAACTATTGAAACCATTATATGGACTAAAACAGTCTGGAAGACAGTGGTACAAGAAGTTAGATGGCTTTATCACAAGTATTGGAGGCGGGCGCACAGCAACTGATCCTTGCGTTTATGTATTTGGGAAGGAAGAAGATCGAGTGATACTCATCGTTTATGTAGACGATTTAATATTGGCAGCAAAGAAAATTGAAAACCTTGAGACCATTAAATCGAAACTAAAGTCAGCATTCAAAATAGTAGACCTAGGCCTTATAAGTAACATATTAGGCGTTGAAATAAAGAGAGAAGGACCAACAGGTAGCATCTGTATGACGCAAACAAAATATATTAATGAACTGATAAAGAGATTCAACTTAGTGGATGCGAAAACTGTCGCTACACCGATAGAGTCAAATATGAAACTTTCGAAGGAAATGGGTCCAATCTCAGAAAACGAGAGACAAGACATGAAAAATCGGCCTTATAGAGGGCTCGTCGGAAGTCTTATCTACCTGGCAAACGCGACACGTCCAGACATCGCTTTTGCTGCGAGCACATTAAGTCGTTTTTGTGCTGATCCCGGCAAAACACATTGGATGATTGCGAAGCGTGTTTTGAGATATATCAAAGGTACTTCTATGTATGGAATAACATACGTCAAGAACAACGAAGAACTTAAAGCCTACACGGATTCGGATTGGGCTGGAGACGTAGACGACAGAAAGTTGTGTACAGGTAACATTCTGATGTTAGCAGGCGGTCCAATTAGTTGGAGGTCAAAGAAACAGACAACTGTTGCAATGTCGACCATGGAAGCAGAGTATTCAGCTCTTGCTGAAGCTTCGCGAGAAATAACTCACATAAAAAGACTGTTAGTACATATGGGTTTTAAAAGATGTGTAAAAAACCCTACTTGTGTTTACTGCGATAACCAAAGCGCGATACAGTTATGGAAGAACGCGGTTTTTCACAAGCGTAGTAAACATATCGACGTAAGCTACACGTCTCTCGAGAATTAGTCTAAAAAGGGGAAATTGTAATTTTCTACTTGAGGACGGACCTAATGATCGCAGATGTCCTAACGAAACCGCTAACAGGAACTAAATTTGATAAATTCGTAAAAATGTTAAGATTAAATTAAAGTAGTTTATCTTTGTTATGTATGTAGCACACAGTGATAGAGGGAGTGTGAAAAAAAAATGCAATCCCTGTGTGCTGTCATAAAGACATTATGTAATAGACGGCGCCCTATGCTGGCAAGTTTCAGCTTGTAGTCGTCTTACATTAAGTATTTGAAAGTATTTCAAATCTTTGACTGTTTTATCAGGGTGACATTTTCTCAGATGATTTTCTAGCTTGGATGGTTTCATAGCGTCATTGCTCAAAACTTTGTTGCATAAAAGACACATATGAAATCGTTTGTCCGACAATAATGGAATGAAGCCAAATTTCAAATAATCAACACTGTACTGTCTACATTTCTTTTTAGATTCGGCCGTGTTTAGTACAGTAATACCTCGACTTACGCTATCCCGACTTACGCGAACCCGGAGTTACGCGATTTTCAAATCTCGTCGATTCTTCTTTTGGTTGAGTGCCACGCAACTCTTGATTACTCACTCCCCCCACACTATTGTTCAGCTTACATTTTCGGACGTGTCGCGCAGAATCGACACATAGATACAGTTTATTTTGTGTTATTTATTTCTGTATTTGTTATATCTACGGAGACTTGAGAGACTCTATGTGATGATTTCTTGTAACCGTGAACGAATCAAAAGACGAGATAAGATTAACGAGAACATTTATTAGCTTACATACATCCGACTTGGATTTTACACAAATTATGAAATTATACCTTGACTTACGCGAATTCGACTTACGCGGTTATCGCTCAGTCCCACCTATCGCGTAAGTACGGGGTATTACCAGTAGCGTGCCGTCATTAGAAGTGTTGGAAGCGCCGCTTCCCTCGTATTCTCTAAAAAATAAATAAATATTAATTTTAATTATATGAAAATAATCGCACAATATTTTATTATAACCGCATTATGTATCTTATTACAAATTTCTATACTACACGGGGAAAAAAAAATTGCTATTGTATATTAGAATATTAGTGGCGGAGTGGAATCTCCTGTATTTTCAGATTACGAAAAGCCAGATTTGCGCATGCGCTTTACAGAGCACCAACCTCACCCGGTTTAGCCGGTGGAAGCCTACGACCTTGGGTGAAAGCTGCACACATATAAAGATTCCAATTCTATCAAGGACCGGTTCTGGGCTGTTAGCCGCCTGCCCACTAGATATTTCGATTACGTGAATAACGAGTAGATTTATAACTTAACCCAACCGATAAGAATTTACTGGTATGTTTTTACGATAGTTCTGTATAGTTGACAGGAGTTTAAAAAATCCATTAAAATATTTGATATATTTATTCCGCTCTCCGATTTTATATTACTCACGGATTTCGATGTTAAACCAGTGATATTACGATTTCGTACATCCCATCTTTAAGGGGATGTAGAAAAAAACGTGTACAATTCTTGTATAATGTTAAAAAATTAACCGTTACTTCGACAGCATCATTTACAACTAAATTTAATGAATGAGAGAGATGCACGAGGTACAGAAAAGGCTCTAGAATTTATTTTCCTTAAATTTACGATTTATGTATCCGTTGTCGTAAAAATTTGTCTTTCCACTTTTTTCCCGAGACTACAAATATTCGAGTACAAAGTAACTGGTTTCGACTTATTTCTACTTAAGAAGTAGTTAAATAATTAAGCGATTAGGGAATTGGGGACGTAAACAAAACCCTGATGAAAGAGCCGGAATTTTACTTAAACAAAAGCCTAACCGGACCAATATCTAGCCGAGTACAGTGGGACTGATTTCTTCGTAATATTAGATGTAATAAAGACAGAAATTTTTCCAGTTCAATGAAAGTGAGTAAAAGTTGTAAATTTTGGAAATTTCCGTGGACACCTGGTCTTAAAACGAATTACAGTAGTTAGAAAACAAATGACTTTTAAGTTTAACAAATTTAGATTTTTACAGCTATGATGAGAAACGTTTAAAATTTACAACAACCCTGTCGCGTCCTTTGAGATATACTAGTGATGAGACAAAAGAGACATTAACCGGTATCGGCACCCTCGGGATTTGGCAAGCATGCACCGCACCGCACACCTACCAAGACCGTCTCTGATTCCATCCACGAGCCACTGGTAGGGAGCAATTTTAACTAGGTGGATTGTTTTAATATTTAAAAAGTAAAGACTATTTTATGTTATTTTTATGTACGTTTCTTCACAAAACTATATTTATAATTTTCTTTAAAAGTATATTCATACAATTGAATATTTTGTACCAGGTATGTATAATTGTATATCATCACACATTTTATTTTAACAAGTAAGTTTTTATAATTTTATTTTTAATTTTAGCCCTTATATTATAGCTAGCAATTTAGAATGTAATTGTGATATCGAAAATTTATTTCAAAAAGTTTTGGCTCGAGACCATATAATGAAAAAGAAAAAATTTGTTCGACATTTTCATGATAAAATTTATGAAGATATAAAATGGCTTTGTGGATGCATAAAAATGCAAAATTTGTTTTGTTGGCCTTGCCTACTATTTTCAAATAAAATTAGTGTGTAGAATGAGATTGGCTTTGACGATTTAAATAATTTGAGTAAAGCTGGCAAAAGACACGAAAATCCTAAATCTCGCATCGATTCTTTCGTAAAATTGAAGCAATTTGGAAATCAAAATAGAATAGAATTTAACATTAGTACACAATATAAAATATATATTGAAAATTATAACAAGATAGTTACGGCTAATAGATATATTTTAATTAGTAGATGTTATCGAAGCGAGAATTGGCATTTAGAGGGCGTATAGAATCTATTAAATCTAATATAAGAGAGTTAATTATATTGAACTTGCTTATTTATTAAGTGCGTTAGATAATCTATTAATTAAAAATACATTTAGAGAAGTCTACGGTTTTTACTGGCTTATCGAACAAACGAATACGAATGGACCCTAGACCATTGCTGACTGATTGCCCCTGGAAGTCGGCTTCTTATAGAAACACAGCTTCCCTATCATCAAATGTCACGGCACTCCACTGGGTATTACTGTATTAATTATCTGTGGACAAAAATTAAGCTATTTAAATATGATAAGACACAGCATTCAAAATTGATTCTCGGTGTAAAACCTTATTTTAATTTAATCTTTAGATATCTTTTTTATATACAGAGAGGAATCGTGTACTGTACACGTGATGTTTTAGCTGTACGGCCTCAAGGTTCTAGGACCTTGCATTGGTACGGCCTTGTTTTCTAGGTGGCGTTGCCTGGACGAACCCATACGAGCTTGCAAAAATGATCATCTTACAAGTTAGTGCCTGCAGGGCGGAAAGTTTAAAAATAATAATAATGCAATAAAAAAATAAGGAGAATGCAAAATGTTTAAATAAATTAGTTTATATAATTTTTTAAATAAAAAAATATTAAAAATTTAATGTGTTTTTTTCTTTCTTTCTTCCCCCTTTTAAAACTAAATATCAGCCTTAAGAGGGCGCTTTAACGAAAAACGTGAAGTAGGCCGTGTCTTGTTTTGTACACGTGCTTGGATGTGTAGAGTGCATTTTCTTACGTAATTTTTATTTCAATCCACAAGTGTTAGCAACAACTCCAAATAGCAACTAAGTGTAGTTGTTACACTTTCAAAATCAAAATGTAGATTCGAAATTTGTAAAAAGTATGATATATTTTTGTAAGGAATAAAAAATATTTTTAATTAATGTATAAAGTATTTTAAAAGGTAAGTGTAAACATATAATGGTGCATGTAAACAATTCACGAATATATATTAAAAGATACTTTTTTGTGATAAACTTGAATTATTTTATCAACATAATTCAGGTTTTTATTTAAAAATTTGTTGATGAAAAATAGCATGTTTTTTACCTATGAACTTTATATATTAGTACCATGCAGCATGCTCTTTACATATTTATTTTGATAGTAAAGCTAATGCACAAAGAATTCCAAAGAATTATTGCATGTAAATATATATATGAAAGAAAGATTGAGATATTTTTATAGATATGAGCTTAAACACATAAGATTATTTTTTAAATCTTTGTTCAATTATACTGGCCAAGTTTATTAATAGTCTTTATTTGAATTTCATTAAATAATTTAGCCGTGTAAAATTTATTTTTCATTGCAAATCTGAAATTTTAAAAGTATACAAAATTATTACATTACAGAAATATAAAATGATACAAATTTCACACATTTGGAAAATGATTTAGAATTTAAAACTGAAAATGTGTTGTTTGCATAATTTCTTCTTTCTTTTTAAATTATAATAGATTATTAAGAGAGAAAATTGTGTCTCTGTGTGGTGAAGTGTATAAATTTTGATTATTGTTTGAGAATATAGAATAATTTATGAAACTATTAAAATTGATATAACAACAAAGAGGTTGCGGCCGATGTTTTCATCGTGAAAACATGAACGTCGGACATTCAGTGCCACCCTCCTGTAAGCCTAGAAGTTTGACAATGGCATTTGGAATGTCAGTGAAATCATGCTTGACATTTTAGACACCATTGTCAAACTTCTAGGCTTACAGGATGGCGGTGCTGAACATCCAATGTTCACATTTTCGTCAGTTGCAACCTCTCTAATCATTTTAAAATTCACAAATGGTTGCTGATTCTTACCCAATCAGTTTGAATTAAAATATTTTGTTTCAAATTATGTCCCATCTTAGATAGTATAAAACAGACTAGTTTAAATTTTTCTATGAATTATTTATTTCACTTTAGCTTACCTTGTATTAAATGGTATTATTAAACATTATAGTAAGATTGCATTTATATTAATTAAATTTACTGTACATTTCTTATTAAAACTGTATTTCCAAAATGATATATTTTTCCCCTTGGGAAGAATTTTTGAAAATTAAAATTGAATGAGATTTTCTGTATTTGTGTCGTGTTAAATGTATATAAACCCTAAAATAAATGTTAATCATAAATTTTTTTGATTTCAGATAATTGTATAGAAACCATGGCATCTACAAGGATATCACTTCCAATAGTTAAAGTTTTTATTAAAAAAACAATATTTTTTGGAAATGTTCTATTTCGTAGACATTTATTAATAACCAATACAGTTATTTCTACACTTATGGGTGGTGCTGGTGATTTAATCGAACAACATTACGAGATTTTAATGGAAAAGAAAAATAAAATAAATTATTTACGCACTTTACATATGTGTGTGGCAGGAACGACGACTGGTGCCACTTCACATTATTGGTATATATTTTTGGATAAATGGCTACCCACGAAATGTTTTAAAACTGTAATGAAAAAGGTGTTATTTGATCAAATTTTATTTTCTCCAGTTTGTATAACAGTGTATTTTGGAACATTAGGAATACTTAGAGGATTGACAGTTGAGAATTTTAAAGAAGAATTATTACATAAAGGATCTGACATATATAAAGCAGAATGGATCGTATGGCCTCCAGCACAGATGTTAAACTTTTATGTCTTACCCACGAGATTTCGTGTTCTGTTTGACAATTTTATTTCATTAGGATTTGATATANTTTTTTTTTTTTTTTTTTTGTATAATTTAATAAAATTAAAATAATTTTAATAATTTTACTAAAATATTTATTTTTATGAAATAATTAAGTCATTAAATAAGTTTATTTAAAAAATTTATTTTTGTATATTTTAAATATACAGATGGAATATTTTAAATTTTACATGGTAATTTTTTTCATTAAAAATTATTTTGAATTTTGTTGGTCTTAAAAATGGTCTTAATATAAATTAATATATCAGCTGTATATAATATGTAATTTATATTATTATATATTAATTACCATGTTTTTGAGTTTGAAATTGACTCAGAAAACATATAAGTTTCTCTATAATCATTGTATTATAGAGAAAAATTGTAAAATTTTTGTTAACAATTATGTTTTCGCAGTGTTTTAATACCATTTAGGGGAATTGAATTGAATTGAATTATTCGAGTAGACTTGGAATGAGTTAAAATTTTTACATCAGAAATAATTGAAATAATTTCCTGATATTCAAATCATTTTATGAATGCATTAAATTTGATTATTGGAGTATGATTGTACTATCCTTTAATATATAGGTATGATTAAACAATAGACAGCAGTGTAGTAATATATTTTTTGCAACTCTAATTCTCATCTTTGGATTTAGAAAAAAAATGCTTAAGTAAGAGTTATTCAAATTGTTAATTTCTGGTGTAAACTTTGAAGGAATAGTAAGCTGTACATATTTTATGTGAAACAGAGTACTCAAAATTTATAAATTGTGTAGATCCTGATATACTTATCTGATTTGCATTGTTTGTATATAGAATGTAAATAAATATAGTTTGAATACTGAAGTTTACTGTTGTTTGATCTGTTCAAAATTTTTTTAAAACTATATCACAAATCAAATATTTATTAACTTTTTTAAGAAAACAAAATGATGGTAATTAAAATCAAAGTAAATCAGTATTTAAAAAATATTGCTTGGATGAAAATATCAATGTTTCTTCAGCCCACTGGAATTTATACTTTTTATAACATTAAGAATAATCTGAACAAGTATTGATTTTGAAGAGCACTTCTACTATTACATATTTAATTTGAGTGATTAAATATAACAAAAAATGCTTACAAATTTTACTTTAACTTTTTAATGTATTAATATATGACAAAAGTAATAATGTTAATTTGTAAAAACGTAATACTTTCTAAACATTTGTCGTGGATATCTTGAAATTGTCACACTGGTTGCCATCGTCAGTTACACAAATTTCAGAAACTTGGTCCCACAAAAGGCTGAGTATTTACATTCTTGTGAATAAAATTTAGCAAACAATATAAAGGATGAAGAATTTTCTAGAAAAACATCCTTATCTACAGATGATGTGAAAAATGGAAAGTGACAGAAAACCTTGCCCATCAACTTGGTTTCTCAGTAGAGGACTTAGTATTTCACTTATCATTATGTGGAAATCACTTTATGGTTTGCATTACAGAAATAAGTTTATCCTTCAAAAATTTAATGCAGCTCTTCAAGCAACATGGTATCTCATCAAGGGTGCAAATCACAAAAATTTAATAAACAATACTTTAATCAGTAACGATTTCACCTTTGCATTACTTTACATTTGTCATATTGTGTTTGAACTCTTTTCTTTGCAATTATCAACTTCAAAACTTTATAAATACCCTGTATATTGACATTAAATTGAACCACTTGATATTAAGCATATTTTTAAAAATAAATACATTTTGCAGTGCATTCTGTACGAAAAAAATGACAACTGTCAAAATAATCTGACACGAATTAGTTGCTAATAATAGAAAATTATTTCATGAATTACTTTGGTAATAGTATTTTTTACTTTATTACATGTAAGTATGCTAAAACATTACTAATTTAAACATTAAGTTCTCTTCAAAATAAAATCTGCAAACTGAACTTTTAATCTTTAAAAAGTTAACATATTTTCTGACAAACTAAATTAATTTTGAATGCTATCTAAAAACTATTCCCCATTTATAGTTTGTTATTATCTAATAGAATAGAAATTAAGTGAAGTAAATGTAACTGGAAAGGGATTAACAAGCAAAACTGATTGGAAACTTGGCTTAAATCATCAAAAGATAGATGCTAAAAGAATGTAAGATTAAGATACATGTAATTAAAATAAATCTTTACTCAGAGAAAAATAAATATGATCTTGTAATAAATACTTGAATTATAATAATAAATTATAATTTCTTTATATATCTGTAATTTCAACTGATTAAGATTATAATGTTACTACAAACTGATCAAATGCACTTTAGACACAAAACCAAGAATCATTTATTTAAAATGTATAATAATAATAATAATGAAATTTGCATAGATTATTATTAACTTGATACTACTATAATGCATAATCTTTTTTTTCAATCAACCAGATAGCCAAAGCAATTGTCAGTATTCTGCTCTGAGTAACCCGAATTTGTACCTGTCAGGACCACAGAATTTTTAAATAGTCCAGTTTTGATATACGAGGTTCCATCCCTATCACATTGCTCCATTGTGGTCCAGCTGAATCATAGGTGAGTCTGTTACAAAGGCCCTCTTAATACCCACAGACAGGGAAGAGCAGTGGCACATTTAGAAATATGGCACAACCAAGCCCATAATATTTAGATACTTCTCAAACTAATAATGCCACTTTTGCACTGAATGATTTTATTTTATAATTTTAATTCTGTAATAACTATTTTATTTTTACACTTTTAAATATCAAAAGGGCAAAGGGTACTATTATTGAAAATCCATCATTAGTACTTCATGCAAAATATAATAATATTACTCAACTGAAATGTCTTTTGTCCCCACTTAAACTTTTAATTTGCATTAATTCCTTAATAAATTGTTTCTATGTAAAATTATTTTTTTCTTTATTTTGATGTTATTGTTATTAAATTGAATTTTTTGTACCTCAAATTCGTGCGCCCTTAGACCCAGACTTAATGTGAAATCCACCACTAGAGAAGAGTTTAAAAAATCTTTTTTAATCTTTTCCAAAATTTAACAATATATTACATAATCATGTTAAACATCAATGTTTACAAAATTCTCTAAACACATCAAGAATACTGTCTCTAAAATTGAATGCTATTATAAAATGCAATCCAGATTGTTTATCTTTTACAAAAGGAGAAAGTTAAGTGAGAAAATATATTCAATTGATAAGACAGTATTTGCTTTGTTTGCAAAGGATAGCACTAGTCATTCCAGTAAAGTTATGCAGTTCAATGAACATTATATCACATTACTGATCTTTCTGTTAGTTCATTAATTTCATTAATTGAAAATTAGAATTTTATTTTACTCCATTCTACTTCTATGATGCACTTTGATGAGTCAGAAATGTGTACAGGGACTGGGTTATGCTAGAATGATGTACAAATTTTGGTTATAGGAAATAATGGAAAAGCTCATCCTACTTGTGTGAAATTTCAGGAACAAGGTACGTTTGTAAATCAGTGTCTTGCTGTACATTTAAAAAAAAAAAATACACTGTAAATATCGTAATAAGGCATCATTTTAGATCTAGGAATATGTACTATATGTACTTAATATGGAAAAATGAAGTTTACATCAGCACACAAAGTCTAACTGAATGTTGAGAAAATATATTATAAATGAGAGAGTTTGTGTTTTACTAAAAGAATAGCTTCAAGTTTCTGAGAGAGTCAAATCTCTCTTGTTACTTTCATTATTATTTATATTTTCTAAGCAATGGGATACATTATTTCATGTTTAGGATCACATTTTAGGTATATTATTAACATACAGATATATAAAATAATTGAAGTTGCATATAATAGTTTATTATTATCTGAATTACAATTATTAATAGTCTTTTGTTAATTAATTAATTTAAATAATCTATAATTACACTTATAAGTGACTTATATAAATGACTTATAAGTCATTTATATATATTGATTAAGAATTTTCAAGCAAAATACATTTCATCTGTATAATATTATAAAAGATTTTGTTGAAATAAAAAATATTTTACATTTTAATGAACTGATGATTTGACCGAAACAGTTTATTTTATGTTACATTAGATTGTCTTGCTAAATGTGGATTGAACTGAGAATTATATTGCCGATCTCTTTCATCTGTTGAAATTTGTTTTTCTTTTATACCTCTATGTTTCTTAATTAATTCTTCTGCTCTTTCTCTTTCAATCTTCTCTCTTTTCAATCTTTCTGCTCTTAATTCTTCTATTGTTTTTTTCTTTTCATATTTTTCAAGCTTTTTTTCTTTCTTATGTTTATGTTTAGACTAAAATCTTTAGTTTATGAAGTAAAGTATATTAATTTGCTGATTTACAAGAAAATTATTATGCATGTTTTTAGTATTACTCAATTTTAAAAGTAATTGATATTGTAAAATATAGATCATCACTTGTAATTTGAATAGCTGTCTGTCATTTTCTTCTGGATGAGAAATAAAGTTAATTAAATTACAAACACTGCATCAAAGTATTAAATATGAAAACTCTAAAAAGAATTTGCTTAACTGATGTTGCATTTGAGATGTCTTGCCTTTCAAATAATTCCCAACTTAAAACAAATTATTAGGAGAGTTGTTAAATATATATATTTTATGTTAGGTTATTTTCTTCAAAATTAACTCAAGATTAAATGTAGATATTAATTGTTTTATGAAGTCTCATCTATCATGTAAAAGAGATTCTCTGTTTTGCGGGACTTTGTCAAATCATGATAGAATTGAGGCAGAGCCAGAAGGAAACAAATGTTCCTTGAACTTGTTAGGCACAGAAGCATACCTATGTATGTGGCTAGAGCACCAGGGGCAAACTTAAATATGGAACCTTCGGGATAAGCCTTTCATTAGTCTGTTACAAATTTAAAAATGACGAGTATAGAATCACTTTTTTATTAATATAATGCATATTTTATTTCATAATATAATTTTTCATACTCATGTGTGACAGTTTTTTATGCCTATTTTCCATTAGATGCATGCAATGCTGCTGTTTATTTTTCTTTCCCAAATTCTGTTAGGCATGCTCAATCATGTCAGGGAGCATGGACATTTTCACTTTAACTTCACTGTACATAAAAAATGAAGTCATGGTCCTCTATTTTTTATATTTAAATAGATCCTTATTACATTTTTGGATTCCTCACTGCAATTAATGAAAATGACAAAGTTACTTCAAAATTGACCCATCAAATTTTGAGAATGAATTCGATTCTATAAGCCCACAGAAGACATGCTAGCAACATTGGAACATCACCTGACAAAGTCGTATGATTCATTCAATATTGCCTTGTAGTGTGCACTCATGTTACAACCTTGTATGTCAAAAATAAATTCATGGACTCCCAATTTTTTGTAACATTTTTAGATTCCTCAACACAATAAACGGAAAATTACAAAGTTTTATCAAAATCAACTGATAAAATTTTGAGATCAAATGCAATATTTTAAGCCACACAGAAGAAGTTTTGCTAATATGCCACCTTAATAAATCTTGAATATTTCATTACAAACACTAAATAAAACAGCAGTTGAGTGAATGAAAACATTTCAACTCACTAAGACCAAAGAGACTGTGAATTGCTCAATCAAAGAATTTGAATGGTTTTTGTGTTTTTTTGAAATAAGACACATTGTCTGTAAGAAGACTACATTTTAAAAAATAACTTTAAATAAAAAAGCTAAAAGTGAGATTCTCAGAATAAACTTTGATATACTATTCATAATGATAAAAACCATATACACAACTCATACTCTCCAGAGGTTTACGCCGTACCTCTTCCTGTACTACTCAAAAAAACCTGTTAATGTAAAGTGATATCATAACCATAACACTAGACCATATAGAGTTTCACAACTGGATGGCCAAATCAGTATAAACATCAGTCTGCAGCTGTAGAGGACTTAGATTTGAGTGCTGGTCAAAAATTTCCAGGAAGTTTTTGTGAATGATTTGTCTTGGATCTCCTTCCCTCATCATTGGCCATCTCCATTGCTACCTGGAAAAATCCTTTTAGTCAAAATGAAAATAAAAAAATGTATCATTGCACAGATAACATTCACCATCATCTGACAAGGGTGATGTCACATATGAAGCAAAGGGAGGACTTTCTCCTTCAGTTATATAGAACTTTAATGAATTAGAAAAAGTTTTTGTACTAAAAATTCTGTTTAAAAAAGTTCACATTTAGAAGAAGCACAGATGTCTTCACAATCATCCTTCTAACATCACAGAGAATAATGTTACACAGTCAATCTATATTTTGATGTTCTTTTGCTGCCTCAATATGCAAAAACTGTCTAAAATGCCTTCTTGTGTAATATTATTATTCCTATGATGTTAGAAGGATGACTATGAAAACATTTGTTTCTTCTACATATAAAATTTTCAAATGAATTTATTGTCCAGGTTTATTTTTAATAATTAAAAATTTTATGTAAAAAGTATGATATATTTTTGTAAGGAATAAAAAATATTTTTAATTAATGTATAAAGTATTTTAAAAGGTAAGTGTAAACATATAATGGTGCATGTAAACAATTCACGAATATATATTAAAAGATACTTTTTTGTGATAAACTTGAATTATTTTATCAACATAATTCAGGTTTTTATTTAAAAATTTGTTGATGAAAAATAGCATGTTTTTTACCTATGAACTTTATATATTAGTACCATGCAGCATGCTCTTTACATATTTATTTTGATAGTAAAGCTAATGCACAAAGAATTCCAAAGAATTATTGCATGTAAATATATATATGAAAGAAAGATTGAGATATTTTTATAGATATGAGCTTAAACACATAAGATTATTTTTTAAATCTTTGTTCAATTATACTGGCCAAGTTTATTAATAGTCTTTATTTGAATTTCATTAAATAATTTAGCCGTGTAAAATTTATTTTTCATTGCAAATCTGAAATTTTAAAAGTATACAAAATTATTACATTACAGAAATATAAAATGATACAAATTTCACACATTTGGAAAATGATTTAGAATTTAAAACTGAAAATGTGTTGTTTGCATAATTTCTTCTTTCTTTTTAAATTATAATAGATTATTAAGAGAGAAAATTGTGTCTCTGTGTGGTGAAGTGTATAAATTTTGATTATTGTTTGAGAATATAGAATAATTTATGAAACTATTAAAATTGATATAACAACAAAGAGGTTGCAGCCGATGTTTTCATCGTGAAAACATGAACGTCGGACATTCAGTGCCACCCTCCTGTAAGCCTAGAAGTTTGACAATGGCATTTGGAATGTCAGTGAAATCATGCTTGACATTTTAGACACCATTGTCAAACTTCTAGGCTTACAGGATGGCGGTGCTGAACATCCAATGTTCACATTTTCGTCAGTTGCAACCTCTCTAATCATTTTAAAATTCACAAATGGTTGCTGATTCTTACCCAATCAGTTTGAATTAAAATATTTTGTTTCAAATTATGTCCCATCTTAGATAGTATAAAACAGACTAGTTTAAATTTTTCTATGAATTATTTATTTCACTTTAGCTTACCTTGTATTAAATGGTATTATTAAACATTATAGTAAGATTGCATTTATATTAATTAAATTTACTGTACATTTCTTATTAAAACTGTATTTCCAAAATGATATATTTTTCCCCTTGGGAAGAATTTTTGAAAATTAAAATTGAATGAGATTTTCTGTATTTGTGTGGTGTTAAATGTATATAAACCCTAAAATAAATGTTAATCATAAATTTTTTTGATTTCAGATAATTGTATAGAAACCATGGCATCTACAAGGATATCACTTCCAATAGTTAAAGTTTTTATTAAAAAAACAATATTTTTTGGAAATGTTCTATTTCGTAGACATTTATTAATAACCAATACAGTTATTTCTACGCTTATGGGTGGTGCTGGTGATTTAATCGAACAACATTACGAGATTTTAATGGAAAAGAAAAATAAAATAAATTATTTACGCACTTTACATATGTGTGTGGCAGGAACGACGACTGGTGCCACTTCACATTATTGGTATATATTTTTGGATAAATGGCTACCCACGAAATGTTTTAAAACTGTAATGAAAAAGGTGTTATTTGATCAAATTTTATTTTCTCCAGTTTGTATAACAGTGTATTTTGGAACATTAGGAATACTTAGAGGATTGACAGTTGAGAATTTTAAAGAAGAATTATTACATAAAGGATCTGACATATATAAAGCAGAATGGATCGTATGGCCTCCGGCACAGATGTTAAACTTTTATGTCTTACCCACGAGATTTCGTGTTCTGTTTGACAATTTTATTTCATTAGGATTTGATATATATTCGCCATATGTAGTTTATAAAAAACATATTAAAACTTCTAATGAATCCGGAATTGAAAACTCAAGTAAAAAAAAGACAAAGGAGTGTNTAGGTGTATTAAATTGATAACATTTCAGATATTGTTATGAATATTTTTATATATTTCTATTTTTTAACCAAATGTTTGAACCGTTTTAAATTCAAATTTGTTATTGCATATTGGTTCAATTATAGAACAATTGTAAATGTTCCAGAAAATTGATCAAATTGAAAACAGTTCATTTGATTCTCAGCAATTCTCATCATTCTCAGCAGTAGATGTAATATAACAATTACTATGGTTATTGAAATACTGAATATAAATGAGGTTTGCATGCGAAGTCACATATAACAGCTAGTATTTACATATTATGGTAATTAAAACTTATAGAAAGATACACTTTGAGATTAGTCATCATTGTCATCAGTCACTTTTTTCATGAATAAATTTAATAATAATACATAATTATTTAAATAAATAGTTAATATTAAAATATACAAACATATACACAAAATTATATTAAAACAACTTAAGGTAAAAAAACAACAAAATTTATATGCTTTCCTATATATGAGCTAAGCCCAAATAATAATTTAAATTTTTTTCCAAAAAATATATTTCAAACAAGATTTTTTACAAACCAAAGCATTTTTAAATCAGTTTTTAATAATAGTCAGATATTCATAAAGATTTGAGTCAATGTTAATGTCTCTATCTAAGATGTCTTTAAATTATGAAGAATGTGCATATTTTTTGCACAGTAAAATACCCTAATGTAAATTAATATTTTTATTTGATTTTCTTTTAATATCACTAAAATATATCATAAATTTGTAAACTTTTAAAATTTTTTAAACATTTTTCTTTCTTTATTTTCCAAATTAATGTTTCTATTTAACACGTTAACCACTATCTAACGCGCCGGTGGTCGTACTAATTAAGACTGTACAGAGCCATCTGACCGCCCGACATCAATATAACCAATGTAGTTTCTCTCAAGGTTAAATTATCCTGGCTTTGTAAGACATTGTTTACATCCTAGTGGTGGCCTCTCGCGCCACATCTATAAAGTTGGCTCTGACCAACAGCGGTCATATGGCTCTGAACGGCCCTAACTACTACGACTGCTGGTGCATCATATGACTCTGTACGGATCTAATTAGTACGACTGTTGGCACGTCGGATAGCAGTTAATGTGTTAAATTCTGTAATCTGATGACTGTAGGTTTAGATTCATACTAAGCACTAAAACATTCAGTCAATCATTTTTAAGAGTTTCTGAAAAAATTTTTAAATATTAATTATTCATTTGATAAAAAATCATGAGTTAACTATTCATTGATGTCATTTGCTCTGCAACTGACATCAATGTGCAGATCAGACAAGTTTTAACATTTTGTATTGACACATTGTTCTACTTTCATCATGCTTTTAGTGCCACAAGATGAAGAGAGTTGAAAAAACATATACAGTACAGCCAAATTGTGTAGCCACTAATCACTTCAATTGAAACTAAGGTCCTGCTGCATATTCATCAAACTTAGTCCCATATAATTTCTTTCTGTTTCTGGAATTAAAGATGTGAAGACAAGGTTCTGACAAGAGTTGTGCAGAGCTACAATGAAAACTCTTTGACAACTGTTCAAAAATATATTACAATAAGCATAAAATTTGTGAGTATATAATTTAATTGGCAAAGGTGTGCATTGGTCAAAGGTAAAGTTTCAAGCATGACAAATTGTCAAAAGACATAGAAGATCACATCCACCATTATTCCATGAACAAAATAATCAACCATTGTATAAAATATTTTAAGTATTTTGAAAATTTTAATCATTAATAAATATTTTGTGAATTTTGTGGTTTTGAAGTTACTTTTGATGCTTATCATGTAATGGCTGAGTGTAAAGCTTTTGTAAACAAAAGGATTTTGTATTTTGGAAAAGAGTTTCTGTCAAGTTATGATTTTATAAGTTTGTCATGTAATAATAAGAATTACATATGTATATATAATTTTACTGCTAACATCTAATGAATTTATTTTCTTGTTTATTTAGCCACCAGGAGATTCAAAGTGTTATAAAAGTGGCAGTCACTGTTGGTGGAGTTGACAGTAAATTTTGTCGGCAATTTTAATGCGATTTAACTAATTATGAAATTTTGTTGTTACAGGTAATGTGACAGTTTTTTCTTTTTTCATTTTAGGGCAATGGCTCACTGCTAATTTGTGACATGTATAATATGTTGTTTTTTGTTGTTGTTTTGCCTGTATAAATAGGCATTTGCCTTGTACTAATAAATAAATAATAAATGTTTAAAGGGTGATTCATAGAATTTATAAAAACTAAACTGTTTTTAGTCGTTTTAGTAAACTAAACCTATGTTCATATATGTCATTGATAATCATATATCACATGATGAAATTAATGATTTTAAGAAATGTCTAGCTATTTCTTTAAGTGCTAGCACATCCTATAATAGACATTTCTTTCAGAATCTATCTAGTTCTTCTGGTCACTTCTTAAATGACCAGAAGACATGGCTTCTGCAGATGTTGGAAAAGGTATATATTTCAGCATCTGTTTAATGAAACTAGGCATTTTATGTAATGTCTAATGCTTCATTAGCACATGGCATAAAACAAAACAATGGAATAGTTCCAAATTTACAAAAACTTTTAACATATAAGCGTTAAATTAGACACCTATGTCACTAAATTGACGAGCGTTTTCGACGATATACACTTTCGTCTTCTTCAGGTCATTAGAACCTTTTTTGAATACAAAATTTTTAAAAACATTNTAACTGTATTTAAAATTCTTATTAAAAAAATCTTGAATCAAAATCATCACAAATACAAAAGTTTATATAAAAATTTACACAAAAAATTAAAATGCTTGAAATTTCTAAATATTTTTGCTCTCAAGATGTTAAACTTTAGATGAATAATTATTACTTACATGTGTGTGATGCTTGTTTTTCTTGGACTTTTTCTTTGTGCTGCTTGATTTTTCTTTTTCATATTTTGTTTTCTACATTAAAAATAATAATAAAATTCAATATAAATTTTCAAAAGTCCAATAGACTAATGCCGATTCATATTGAAAGAATTATTACATTTAATGTTGTTTTATGTAACAGAATACTATACATTAAATCTTTTAATTGGTTAATTGTGAATTTTGATTGAAATTGCTTGATAAATTTCTTTAGTAAAATAAATTTTCATCTATATTAAGTGAAATTTTTTGTCATTATATTCTTATAAATTTTTGGAGTATTCTTTATTTTTATTTAAATAATAAATATAATTAAAATTATTTATGTATGAGTACCTGATTAAGATAATGAAGATTAACTAATTGTTAAAATAGGTCTCAATTATAGTTATGTTAAAATAGGTCTCAAAATAGGTTTTTCATTTTTCAAAAGCTTTTTGAAATTTCCAGTATTTTTGTATAATGGTTCATTGAGGCTTTATGTAAAGATAAGACAGCAATATACTGCACTTCTATTCACATAAATAATAGGTAGAAGTTAAAATACACTACTACAGTTGAATTAAAGAAAGTAATGAATTTTTAGTTATAAATTTTGAATGATGACTTAAATGAATTTATTATAATTGGTTTAGTAAGTAAAAGTACAGTTGATTTTCATACATTTTTCTTATTATGAAAAATATAATACAGTAATTTAATAATATTATGAGAGAAATATCAAGCATTAATAGATATATAAAAAACAATTATTGTACGGCAATTTATCAATTTTTATGTAAAAATTCATTGCCAATAAGTTAAAAATATTAGAAAATTACACATTACAAACTGTAATATTTTTAGCTATACTAATGTTAATAAAAATTTAGTAAAAATAAGTCCTCAAAACAAACAAAAAAGTAAAGAACTGCTTGTGCATTTCTTCTGTTTACATTATAATAATTCAATAATAATTTTATTTGCTATATCAAACATATTTATTTTTAAACGTTTTCACATTCATTTCAAGCTACCTTCACCATATTTGTAAATCAAATGTGCACAGTTATTAAAATCAAACATTTTTTAATAATAGAACATATTGAAAAATAATTGTTGGCTATGTATATCAATTTATATGTATACTGAAAATGACCCAAAGTGAATCTGAAAACATTTCATAAAAAATATTTTTGGTTTCCCAAAGCAAACAGCTTTGTCTTTTAGTTTACTATTATGGCATAAAATTTTCTGCACATTTATTTGATATATCAATTAAAATTTTCAAAACTTACTAACATATACCTTTGAAATTTGGAAATCTGATGATGATTCCTTTATTTCTGTAGAAGTTTTGTTTACTGTTGACGTTTTTCCTTCTTTCTTATGTAAGTAACGTCTTATATCAATAAGTGGATCTTGAAGTTCAGATTTTGTTCTACTTGCAGAATGATCTTTACTACATAAAAATGAGTTAACAGTTTTTATAACATAAATATGTACTTTGTAATCTAAATATATTTAATTAAACTAATTTATTGATTTTTAATCAACCCAACAATTACTTTAATTAAATATCAAGCAACCAACCAGATTCCTTTATTGACCTATTAAGGCTAAATAATTTCTAGATAATTTGGAAGGAGATAGACTGTTAAACTGACATCTCTTGTTAAATTTAATGATTTTAAATAAATTAATTAATTACCTGTAACTTTCATCTTGTACACGTTCTCCTGGTATTTTTACATACCATGGAACTTCATCTATTTGAAAATAAAAATTTTATTAAAAACAAAATATACTTCATAATTATAATAGATTTATATATTTTATAAGCTAAAAAATATACATGTATTATTTATATACTTGAAATATCCTGCCCAAGATATGTAAGGAGTCCAATCTTTTTTTCAAATTTTTCTTGTTCTTGCTTTTTCTCTTCATCGTGTTCTCTATTGGATCCTCCAAAATATCCCTAAAAATTTTAATTTAAAATAAAATATATGCATTAAATAGCTTTTATTATTACTATGTTGGATGTAGTAGGTTATATTTGGTTGACACTAGATGCTGCATATTATGCCAGACCAGAGTCAAGACATAGTAACCAAAACAGGATAAAAATTAAATAAGTGTGTGTGTTGTGTCTATATTCAGGAATTTTCTAACAATATGATTGTATTCAATATAGTGAGTGGCCTTCTGTAATGCGATGTATGTGTTTCTATTCAACTCTAATGTTCCCAGACTTTTGTGTAGTTTGTTTGGTATGACACCTGTAGAGGAGAGAATGACAGGTAGTGTACAATAAACATCCTATCCATCCTCCATAGATACCTTATTTCTTCAGCAAGTTTTGTGTACTGGCTGATATTTCAAAGCATGTGTTTTGTACATTGTGAGTGTTTGGAATAGATATGTCTATAATGTATGTAATTTTATTGTGTTTGTCAATGAGTGTGATGTCTGGTCTGTTGTGGTAAATCATTTTATCTCTGCCATAGTACATTTTGTGTGCTGTTTTCCAACGCTATCTGTGAAATGTATTTGTAGTATGGTTTGTGAATGTCTAATAATTTGTGTTTGTTTGCAAGTGCTTGGTGTATTATATTTGCTACTTGATTATGTCTATGTAAATAATCTGTCTGTGCAAGAGCTTGCAACCAGATGTGATGTGTTGTATAGTTTCTGGCATGATGTGACATTTTCTATGTGTTTTGTTTGTGAATGTTGTATCTTTGAGTATATGTTTTTTTGTAGTTTTTTAGTATTTATGACCTGATCCTGTATGCTAATCATGAACCCTTTCGTCTCCCTAAAGAGGCATTCCCAAGCTAACCAGCTGTTTGACACAGTTTGGTCAACAAAATCCTGGGCCAGGTCATAAGGATTCCTGCCATGTCTGCCTTTCGAGCCCACAATTACTTAATGATGTCTATGCTTTATATATGTTGTGTCATATCCATATGATGTGAATGTAAGTTTAATGGTGTTTTATTTGAATCTGCTATGGTTACTGCTTTATGTAACTGTAATGTTTCTTGTAGAAAAACTCTCACAGTGTCTGTATTTGTTTGTAGTGAAGGTTTACTATGTCAATCAGACCACATTTGCCATCTTTACATGAAAGGGTTAATCTTTCTACAGTGAATTTAAGATGATTTTGTTTATGCTTAGTAAGTGTTGTTCTTGTTTTCCTTTGGAGTTGCTCAAGATCTGTGTGAGTCCAATGTATAACTCCAAAAGAATAAGTGAGTACTGAGACGGTGTATGTGTTTATTGCTTTAACTGTGTGTTTTGTATTTAACTGTGTTCTGAGAATAGCATTTAACCTACTTTGGTATTTATTATTCAATTAATCTTTGCTTTATTTGTGTATGTTCTGTATGTTTGGCCTGTTGAAATCCTAAATACTTGTAGAACTCACCCTCTTCCATGGATTCAATAACATCTCCATTTCCAAGTGCAAAATCTCCTTTCTTCGAGACTCCTTTTTCTATGTCAAGTGTTTTGCATTTGTCTAGATTATTGTTATTATTATTATATGGAAGTTTTTAAAAATTATATAAAATTTATCTAAAACTTATTAAATGAAATGAGGCAAAAACTTAAATAAAAATTAAGAAGAAATGAAAGTAAATTTATTATTATTAATCTTATTAATAATATAAATTTATTGCTTTGCATTCATTTATTTAAAATTATAATTTTGCTTTTTGTTATTAAAGTTTAATCTAAATTTAAATTAATTAGATCTTAAGTAATGTAAGATCTATGAATTATTATTCTTCAGATTTTATGTTATAACATTTATCATCAAAAATTATATCATTTGAGCAAATAATAGTACCAGATTTCTTTGATTCTAAGTTGCCATTAATTCTGAGATGCACAGTAAGTCTGGTATTGAATTTTTATATTTATTTTAATTGAGATAAAAGATTTTAAACAGTTAATTTTATTAATTAAGTAACAATTTAGAAAACAATGAAAATTCCATGAAGTAGATGTTTGGCAGCTCTATTTCATGCTATTCTGCATATACAAAAACTAATTGTCTTCTTGCTGCATCATAATATTATCTTAAAGGCATTTTCAACATTAAAAAGGAGTTTAAATTAAACAACATTATCAACGAAGCTCATCTAAACTGATGTGACATCCAGCAATATATCTTTTTAGATACATGAATCATTTTGTTTACTCACAATGCTAGTTGACTGTTACTTTTGATAGTGAATATAAGATTGTCATCAATTTTACATGATAAGTAAAATTACATGTGTTTCTCTACTTTAGACAAATTATAAGAAGTAAAATACAGTATATCTTACAAGTGTGGTTTATATTTAAAGATGTTTTTATTATATCCAGTTCTTAAACATGAAGAAGCCAGAATATTTTAGCACTGATAAAACATTTTCAGCATTAGCAAATTCCATTTGAAGTATTTGAAGATAGAATGTTTATCCATGATAAAGTATATTCTATCTTCTTTATATCTTGAAGGGTTTATGATGTCATCTTTTACATAATCAAAGGATTGACTATATATGAAATAATGTTTAATAATTAAAAGAATAAAACATTAAAATTATAAAACTATAATTTACTTCTTAAGCAAACTGGTTTCAAATATTACATATTCAAAGTATAAGTTTGTAATTTTACAGTATAACATTAATAGAACATTTAATAATTTAATCATAACTTTTATAGTTCAATAAATGCTAAGTAATAAACATAAGACTTTACTGGAACTAAAGATATATATAATCTCTAAAAACATTTAATTCAAAAAGTAAATTGCAGTTTTTCTAGTAACTAAATAATAGAATTCAAATGAGAATTCTTTGAATTCTAATGCTTCCATTACTTGATTTTACTAATATAATTTACAAAAGAAACATTTTTATTATAAATCACAGAAATTCAGATTTAAAATTTATCAATTAAAGTACAAATGAATTACATTAATAAGTAATGCACTACAATGATATTTACCCCTGATTTTTCTAATTCACTAAAAAAGTTTATGTGCTCTTTTGAATCTGATTTTGGAGGTGATTCAGGTTCTTGAGAATCATCGGGTTTTCTTTTCTTAGCTCGGAGATATGAAATCCGATGCTCTTGTTCCTAATAAATTAAAAGTATTTCCTCATTACTAAACAAAATATTATAATTTTAAACATAATGTAAGCCTTTATGGAAACTTCAATGTTAAGTATCATAAATCTCTCTTAAAAATTTTAAACAATATCTAGTTTATAAAACAGATTTTTTATTAACATACAATTTAGATTTCAATTCCACAATTAACTAAGATTTTCAAAGATAGAAAGCAATATTTTTTAAAATGACAAATTACAATTAAAAAATTGCACAACCTATAAAAGATGAATTATCAACAATTAATACAAATAATTGGATAAAATATATTTTATAATTCATCCTTTATAAGTTTTAGTTCACTTTTTGTTTATTAAAATTCAATTGCTATCAGTTAATTATAAATTTATACATTTTTCTTTTATAGACTTTATTGTATCATAATCAAAGGGATGTTCATTTTGTCAAAATTGTGTTCAATTTTATGCTAATTTTATACTTTCATGTCATGATAATGTATATAAGAAAGTAAAAACAACACTGAAAGCAGTTTTAACACAGTTTTAAGTTTATTTTTGCTAGCACTCTCAATGAATTTATTTTCATCATCTTCAGGCAAACAAGATAATTTATCTGCTGTTCTAGCGGAACTAATCTTGAGAGAAATTGAGCACAGAAAATTCAACTCACTGCATGCCATCAACTATGCTGAACTTGTATTATGTTGACTTCATTCTCATAGCATGGGATGATACAGACCAGACATTTCTCACATTAGAACATCAAATGTCCAGTGTACTCCCCTCTATTAACTTCACATTAGAAAAAGCAGTAGATGTAGCAATAACACTCTGCACAGATCCCCTAAATAACATAGTCCTTTAGGGGATCTGTGCATACATAGATCCCCTAAAGGACTATCATTCTCGGTTTTCCATAAGTTTAATATGGTGCTTCATATCATCCCTGCTGTCATTTTCCAGCTTTTGCGATATGTTGATGCCACTATCACTGCTCTCATTAAAAGAGAATTCTTAATACCATCAATGCAAATGCTCATAAACATTGAGTTGAGCATCATCAGTTTGACAGTATGCACAGCAGGTTTTTTGTATGCTAAGTGCAGCATATGCTAAATATGGTCAGGGAATCACTATTTCCAAGCATAACACTGTATAACAAGTGGGAGGTGTCATTGGTGCAACTGCTATTACCAGGGCTGTGGAGTCGGAGTCGTGGAGTCGGAGTCGGGAGGAATTTCTGGCTAGAGGAGTCAGAGTAGGAGTCGGAAAAAAATGTGTCGACTCCGACTCCGGCATTTCTTTTTTTTTGTTTTCCATAGAAAAATTAAAATGTAAAAGTATCTGCGAAAAATTTCACCCCCAATGCAATTTTATAGTAAAAATATTAGAATAATATGAAATAATTTAAAATAAATATATCGTTAGAGATGTTTTATTTGTCATTTTATTGCATTAAAAACAAGTTGTAACGAGACACTGGGGTCTCCAAAATTTACAACTATTTGACCTTTAGCCAGCTGCTTGGTGAACTTTCGCGGGACGTCCTTACGTAAACATCGAAGGGAATCGGTTTGAGGGGAGGGTGTTCTAGTAAGGTGTGCAGTAGTTCCAGGAATAATCCCAATATGAACACGTGCTGTTTGGTCATTACTACTATTTCTCTGAGGGAGACCGACTTCCTTGTCCGATTCAGGATTAATTCAGGATTCGTACTTGCGTCCTTTTTGTCTAACCTGGGTTAACTCGGAAAAAAGTACTTAAAGGGTTTTTACTACGATTCTCAAGTTCAGATTATTTTACTTGTGACTTGTAAGTATGAATTATATTTATCTACATATTATTTTTAAGAGTTATATCTAATTTTATATACTTAAATATTGTTAGATACCTAATTACCCTTTCACAATTTCACAATGGAAAAGAAAGTATTTTCAAATTCAAAGTCTGCAGTTTTTGAATATTATAAACTTACTACGGATGGAAAATATTATCAGTGTAAATGCATTGTAGAAAATGATGATGGCAAACATGTATGTGAAGCAAAAATTAGCGCTTTTGCTAGTTCTGAAAAAAAAATGCACCTACAAGAGCAGGTAATCTAAAAAGACATTTGCAACGTCTACATCCTAAAATTCTACAAGAAGTAAATGAAAAAGATAACAGTAGAAACACTTCATCTATTTTAAAATTAGAAAATATCCAAAAATTAAGTTCAGTACAAACACAAGTATGCAAATTCTTTGCTTCGGATAAAGTTACAGTAACAATGACGGGTGCAAAATTTAAAAATCTGATAATTGAAATGGTGGTGCAAGATAGTGTGCCTTTAATCTTTTTTTCACG